CCTTCCATCAGCCTTGGGGACTCAAGTTGTCCCCATTCCGATGGCATTCCGATGACCGCTCTTGGTCACTTGTGAATCCACCACACAGAGACCGGTGAACCACCGCCAGAAGCACCAGCCCAGACATGCAGCAGGTGAGAGGAAGCCTGATTCTCAGTCCCTTCTCCATGTGGTTCCTCCGCTGCACGCGTGCTCTGAGCCGAAGATTATCACCATGCACCGTGGCTTGGAAAGTGGACAGCTGGCGAGATAACTCGGGTATTGCCGTCAGTGCAGTGTGAGTGTGTATGTTTGTGTGGATTGGTTGACTAGCGGAATGAGAGGAAGGCTGCAATAGCTCGCTATCGATGTGACCTTTTTTCAGCCCTCCCAATTCACGGGATCGGAGGAAAGGTTGACGACAATGGTGACTGGTGCACGGATTTGACCGCACCAGTCCCCTGCGCCCTCTCCCGCCTCCGGCCATCTGGACTTGATCATAGCATCGGGCCAAGGTGTGGGAGAGGGAGTGGATGCAGTAGATGCAACGAAAGTTTTCCCCCGCTATAATTTAATTCATGCGCAATTCACCACAGCCGGCTGTGAAGCAAGCCGGGGAAATTGCCATCGATTGTATCAGGACACTAATGTTAATCACTTCTGCATACGCAAGCCTACACATTTGACACAGAGTAATTTATTGTGTCCAAATGCATGTTAAGGCGCGCGCGAGAGACTTCTCGTTGGCCCGTAGACATATGAAGAGCGAACACCAGTTGACAGTGTCAATCGTAGACTGCGACGCGCGTATGCCTTTGGAAGTCAGGCGTGTGTGTGTGCAGTCAATCAATTGATCAGGCATACAGCGACTCACTCGCGTGCAATATTGATGTCTCACATCCTCTTAGGCCGTCTGCTTATGAAACCATTGCTAATTACCATTACCGACGGGAACCACAACAGACGCGTCTCTTCCGCGTTCCCACCCCCCTCAGGGCGGCCAAGGTCTGCTACACCAAACCTCCCTATGGTGGATCCATCTCTTCTTCTCTCCATCTGCTTTTTTTATGACAGAGCAGCCCCTTCTGACTATGCTGCTCCGACTCCTCCTCCTCGCCGCCGGGATTGAGGCCCACCCGGCGGGGTTCCGGATCCAACAAGAGCTACTTGCCTGCCTACCATTATCGACAAACACAAGAGAGATTGGAGCGACTGTGTCTAACTCATTAGCCGTCGTCAGCCAGGCCTACCCAACTCCGCGTGGTGCAACACCCGAGGCTTAAACCCACAACCAGTTCGTCAGCAGCTTAGCATTTTAATCATCGAGGCACGGGCTGGTTGTCTTGTAGGTTTTTTGCTAGGGAATATTGACATTCGTTGATGAATGCGCACCGATCCCTAACAAAACTTTCTCTCTTGTCCCCTACTGCCCTGGAGCTCACGCTCGAGCACCAACAGCAGCAGCATAGCTGCTTAATTGTTGGTAGTTAAGTTGGCTATAATTAACACAATATGAATGCCATATTTTTAAACTCCATTCGGATTTTTGCTCGACAACTATTAGGGTAGGAATCGCAGTTTATTAAAATACCCATGGGCGCAATCTCACTATAGTTGCAATAAATTTGACTGATTTGATTGGTTTTACTGCCCTGGAGTGATCCACCAGACTATCTAGCACGTTTAATCTGAATCAGAAGGGATCGTTCATCAACCCGTAATTTCTGCTAAATTAATACATACAATCTCAGCTGCCGTCCACCCTAAACGAGTAACAGTCGCTGGTTAGGCAGCTTGGAAGCGTTACTGCGGTTGGGAAGCAAGTGACACACTAACTAACGGACTAGGACTGGATGCGAATACACTGACTCGGCTCATGACGCTACAGCCGAGTACTTTCCGGTAACATCATATTCCCAGGGGACAGGATGAATGGAATACTCGAAGTGCTTACTTCGGTGCCATACACCTAATTCGAAAACTCAGTTCCAAGGCTTCCGGTTTCGAAACATCTGTGTCCTAAATGAATTATGAATGCACCGAGCTCTTTGCCATTTGAAAGGCTGTCAGTATTTCTCGTTGTGCCAGCGTAAGCTGGGTAGTTTATTTGCATTTGTCCTTCAAACTGCGGTTATAAAAAATCCTGCTTCTACAACAGTCATTTATACTACCACCACCACAGCTACTACTACGCTTTCTGCTAATAATAATTCTATAATAAGTAATACAACGATTGTGATTCCTGATAATAGTAACAATATTACTTTAACTTTCGCTTTTCCTAAAAGTTGCCATGTATCACATTACATGGCTTCCATCTCCACCGATGAACATGACTGTCCTATTGGGGGAGCACCGTCGTGATATGCGCATATATTTACTTATTGCTTAATCGGACTTGGTATGCATCTAGCTCACATAACTCCCTCTACGTTCACTGCCTTCCGACGGCGACGGCACTTTAAGACGATAACAAATGTTTGGATGAGCATGATGGCTGACAAACCCCCACCCCACGCTTCTTAAACCACAGGTAGCACGCATGGTAGATCTGACAGCAAGGCCCTGTTAACACGTAGGGAGTCATTGCAGTCTGGCAATCTTCCTGGAACTGGGAGGATGGGCGCATGTATCTCCTTAGTTGGCAGCCTTCGAAGCCATGGCTTTTGCCACGTCATGGTAGTTTCAAGCACATCTAGTTGATTGCAGTGAAAACTGCACTGACTTTACCAGTCGCAACATCCGACCCACTCTTTGGCATCCTCATCATCAACAGTATATGCATACAATTAAGGACCGCAGCATTGCTCAGCGCTCGAGACCAACCTCCCCCCGTTAGACTTCATCAAAATGGATCATTTTCCAGTGACTGATTTAACATTTTCCATCTTGAGGACATTAAAAAGTTCGTTTGCTCATTGGCAGAGTTTATAATCCTGTATTTACCTCAAGCGACATTTATAGACAGCAGAATAGGTAAATTGTGTGGGAGGTGGGTTGGAGTAAGAGGTTTCAAGCGGACTTGAACAGAACGATTTGCTTCGATCCCAAACCGACGTTGAGGTAGTGGTGTTCCAGGTGGCTG